GCCTAATGCACTCTATGGATCGCGCGGCTGTCTGGAATACACAGCCTTTGACAGTAAGTAAAGACTTGGGTTAGATGGTAGAGAGGTGAGATGATCCAACCACAGGTAAATTTTTTCACCACTACATAGGAGACACATTACTGCCTGGACCCCAGTCTGACCTCTGGTAACCATTAAATCCCTGTCCCTACAAGGTATCACCAATATTGAGGATACATCATAGACATCAACCAGATATCAGGTGTCTCATTATGAACTGGATCAATAAAGTTCAGAGAAAACTGTATAATTTTTATAAAAGTATATTATAGCTACTGTTACAGTAGACTATATGAACACGCTATCATAAGGGTTTTTTTGTACTAAAAATGTTTAACTAATAGAGACTAATCAAATATAATGAGTCAAGCTAAAAAACTTTTTTTACATTTTACAACAAAAAAAATTATTTTTTATAAAAGTGTATTATATACTATTTTTTTATTTTATTTATTTATTTTTTACTAAAAGTTTTTAACAAAAAAAAGAAAAAGAAAAATATTATTCCAGAACTGCAAACAAGTTGGAAAAATTATTGAACAAATACATAGAATATGAAAGCACAATAAGATGCTACAGAGAACTTAATAATATAGGGTTAGTTCACCCAAAAATTTTAATTAGCCCATAAATTACTCACCCTCATGTCATCCTAAGTGTACTGTATATGACTTTCTTCTTTCAGACGAATCCAGTCGGAGTTATATTAAAAATTGTCTTTGCTCTTTCAAGCTGTTTAATGGCACTCAGCGGGTGTCGCAGTGCATCAGTCCAAAAGAAGTGAAATAAAAAGCGCCCATTCAAAAAAAAAAATGTCTCACACGGCTCTGGGGGGTGAACAAAGGCCTCCTGTAGTGAATCGGTGCGTTTCTGTAAGAAAAATATCCATATTCAAAACGTAATAATCACTTTAATGTAGCCAACCACGGAAGCAGTTCCGGGCGGATGACATATGAGGTCGGCTTTGCGCATGCACCGCTCAGAAGTGACGAAAGCGGAAGAGCAGGGGAGAGATCAAAACAAAACAACGGTCACTTATTAGAAGTACAAAACGAGGATTTGTAAAGAAGAATGTCGGAGGATTTCGATATAAACCAAGAGGAGACTGGTTTTCCTTTGCTAAAGTAAGGAAACTTTGCTTCCTTTGCTCCTGTTAACAAACGTTGGTTTTCACGAGACTCACCAGCGCATGCGCAACGCTGAACTCATACGTCATCCGCCCAGAGCTGCTTCCGTGTAGGACTGTTGGCGCAAGCTACATTAAAGTGATTATTACATTTTGAATATGGATATTTTCCATTGATTCGCTACAGGAGGCCTTTGTTCCCCCCTCCCAAGCCGCTTCTGACAGCACGCCAGTGGTGCAGTGAGTTCTCTTTTGGGCTTCAACGGACAAGGAGGGGAAGTCGTGGCCAAATGGTTACAGAATCGGACTCGTAACCCAAAGGTTGAGCAAGGCACCAAACCCCCAACTGCTCCCCGGGCGCCGCAGCATAAATGGCTGCCCACTGCTCCGGGTGTGTGTTCACGGTGTGTGTGTGTTCACTGCTGTGTGTGTGCACTTTGGATGGGTAAATGCAGAGCACTAATTCCGAGTATGGGTCACCATACTTGGCCACATGTCACATCACGTCAAAAACGAGCACAATTATATAAAAAGGCCCATTTTTGGTGAGTGACTTCGTAAACAGTCTTAAATTTGTTAAAAAGTCCTAAATGACTACAAAGAGTTGGGAGAAAATTGAATGTTTGTCAGATCCATCACGAGTTCTCCCAACTCATGGATTATCCATGTCATAAGCATCAGGGTTTAGAAAGACAGCAGGGCTTTTAAAGTAAAATCTGCTGCAGTCTCTGCCATTTATAGGGGGAAAAAGGAACGAAAAAGAGAATTCTTTTCAAAGAGAAAAAGAGAAATTTTGTGGCTTGAAAAAAGCTATATTCAGTTTATAGTTTATATACAATTTATAGTTTATGTGAAGACTGTTTTAGTTCACTTAAATTAAAAGTTGTTATTATTTCAATGCCTAATAAATGTTAAATGAATGGCTATAACAGGGAAAATGCATTTTGAGACGTCAGTAGCCTAGAATTCGTATCAATGATACTGATCTGTAAAAAGATGCCATTAAACACATATTTAAAATATAGCGTGTTTCTACATTAATTTGGAGATTCAGTGTGAAATTATGACAATATAAATATATTAATATGATTAATCACGATTAATTACAGAAAAATGTGATTAATTTTTTCATTGACTCACAGCATTCAGCATTTGTTATATATATAAACAAATGAAATGTAAATAAAATGTATAAATTGTAAAAATAAAATAATGTACATTTCTTTTGATTTCAGTTTTTGCACTTATTTTATTAATTTAGTTACTAAGGCAACATTTCAGATTTTGTTTAAGTATCTAATATTTATATTTTGAGCTTTACCTGTATTTTAGTTAACAAAAACTACTGTAATGATTTTAGTTAACAATGCAACCCCAATGCAACTTTAAACGACTGACACAGAATAAAAAATGGCTTCACTTGAATGTGCACCATAATTACGTCCATAAACTTCAACAACATAACTGCTGTTTACTTACAGGTTTTCCGAGCTTGTTTCGTTCCTTTCAAAAGAACCCACAAACACTTCCAACAAGAGGCTGGAGCTAGCCTACAAGGACTTAATAGAATCTCCTGCTGATTTTCCAACATCTATCAAAATTTTACAGGCATCTGAAAATGCTTATGGACCCTGCTACTATTTGCTCCACAGTGCTCCAATACAGCATGTAGAGTTTGGCCTGGGATGAGAGGCTTTACTGGGGAGGTAGACGACTTCTTAATTACAACTTGTAATTTCATGAAATTTTAATTAGTCTTTATCGTTAAAGTGTGTGGTGCTTATGCTTTTGATACTGTTCAGGTAGTACATCACCTGGGTAAAGCCTGTAGATGGCAGAATGGAACACTTTTTTCCAAAAAGGTCCAAAATTAGGTCCAAAAAGAAGACCCAATTCGGTTGCACTTAGTGTCGGGGAAGATATGAAATCAATGGGTTAGTCTCAAAACCTCATTATTATCTCTACCGGATGCAGTGTAATGCACATCGATATTAAATATTGCAATGCGTTAGGAAGTTGTTTTGCTGCGTGAAACTCAATAGGCAAATATTGACTGGTGTACTTCAAAAGCTATGATAGCATGTGGTAACATGATAACCAGCTTCACTTCTAGAGTATTCAAAACTGGTATAGTTTCACTGGGCAGACCAGTGAATGAAGCCAGCACATGGTGACCAGTTCAGATTTACAGTCATTTAATAATGTCAAATGTAACTTACAAACGGAAAAGACACGTACCATTTTCAAGAATATTCAAGGACACAAATCATATCACACAATCATCTTGTGCAATCTGTCATCTTTGGGGCAGGAACGAATTGTTCGGCAAAGGAAGAATACAAAGAGTCAACCTTAATCCTTGTTTACTACATGTATTTTACAAAATAGTTGCAGAGAGAGGTATTTTACATCTGGAAACAATGATTTTAAGTGTAAATCTTGAGGATATTGGTACAGCTGTTTTTACAGCTATGGTGAAGATTTAAATAACAGTGGAATAAGTTATAACATTTGACTGTTTATTGTGGTGTTGGGATCAGCAATGACCTTTCATTTCTTCCTTTTTTTGCGCTTACATCAATACAGAAATCACAGAACACATAGATGTACAAATATAAAGCACACAGTCTCACTCCTAGGGAAAACGTGAGCAGTCAGTCAGTCGGCCAGTCAGGGAAACAAGTCTTGACTCTTCCAGTTCTTTCTTTGAGGGGGGAAAAAAAAAAAGTCTATGAGAGGAAATCTGAACGTAACTTATAAATGAAACCACCCTAAGTGTTTGACGTTTTCAGAAAAGTCCCTTTTTTGAGGGAACAAACTGATAATATGCAACCGGTCAGGGGTCTTAATACTGTATGTTCAATGGAATGAATAAGCATTAATTTCAATTGTTTGTAACAGACAGACAGCATTCAGCATTAAAGTCAAAAACGTGGGTGAATAAAAGCAAATCTTTCCATTTCTTAGAAAAAAAGCAAAGAAAAAGAAAGATACTTTCCCTTGTTTCAGGATTAAATCTAGTTTTTACTGTATATTTCAATGAAAAATGTACACCTAAATCTTTTAAGTCCTAGTTCGAGTAGTTTATTATTATTATTACTTAAATTTCTTCCTGTACAATGAAATACAACTTCAACTTCAAGACAACAACATCTGCTTTAAAAATACAGAGGGTTTTCTTTTTTTTTTTTTTTATTCACCAAGATTGAAACGTATCCCTTCCCTCCCGACCCAAGCCGCCCCCAACTAAAACAGGACTTTTATTCAATATATACTTCTGTATAGGTGTGTGTGTGTGTGTGTGTGTATATGTCCATGTGTGTGCATGTGTGTTTTGTTCTCTATGCCATTTACTCACAACACTGTAAACATACAGAGACTATTATACATGTGCTTGCACTGATTCATTGAATTTGGTTGACATCACTAGAACACCACAAAAGTAGTAATGATTTGGGGTGAACGAGAACACAATGAAGAATCAAGGTCGAGGTGTTCTGGAGAGCCTCGGGTGGTCCGTTTAAAGTCTCTTCTTATCGTCAGGCTGATGTTCCAGTCGGGTTGACGTCAGCGGTCTTGGAGAAGAAATTGCGAAAGTGGGAGACGAAGAGCAGCAGCAGCAGCAGTGCGGGTGGAGGGACAGTATGAGTACTCTTTCCTTCATCTGAGAACAACAAGTTCCTCGTCAAGGAACCAAGCTGACGTTGGAGAGGGTGGACCATGGACCAACACAAGAGGGAAGGCGGGAAGGCTCTTCACATAAGCAATTATAGTAGAGAACTGAGTCTACACAGTCCTCATTAGTCCTATGCTTGTGAAGTCAGTCCCCATTTAAAGTCAGTGTGAGTCGGTGCTCGAGCCTCTCATGGACAGGCCGATACTTCACTCCCTCAGGCAGTGGGGAAACCAAAAACACTAGCGCGAATGGAAACGAAAAGTAAAACAAAACAAACAAAAAAAAAATTCGGGCTGTTTTGCTCACAAATACACACGCCTGAGGTCCCCTGGCGACGTGATGGTGTTGCATTGTGGGCAGAGTTTCTTGTTTCCCTGTTGAAAGAGAAAGACAAAAAAAGAAAAGTAAGAAGTGGTCAAAATGCTATGCTAACAAAGGCACTCTTGGTGTACAAGCTTTTATCCTCTTGGTTTACAATACCATTTATAAAGTTTGAGGATGTGTTATTTTAATACATTTTAAAACGTAAATTATTCTTGTGATAGCAAAGCTGAATTTTCATCAGCCATTACTTGAGTCTTTAGTGTCACATGATCCTTCAGAAATCATTCTAATACGCTGATTTGGTGCTCAAGAAACATTTATTATTATTATTATCAATGTTGAAAACAGTTGTGCTGCTTAATATATTTGCAGAAACCTTTAGAAACCTTTTGGAATAGAAATCTACTGTAACTTTTTAAATTTATTTACAGTCACTTTTGAGCTATTTAATACAATTTCTCTCTCTCAGAAAAAAAAAAAACCTAACTGAGCTCAAACTTTTGAAAGGTAGTGTAGTTTAACAGTGTGTGTATGTGGACATAAAAACGGGCCTTACATTGGCGGCCCACCCTGTTCGACAAGCATGCGCTTTTCCCACTACCACTCTGATGTTTAGCCAGTACCCATAAAGCCTGCACCATAAAAGCAGAAGAACAGCAGGCAGAGGTAGAGGAGGAGGAAGGTGAGCTGTGTGGTCTGCTGTCTACACCACACACATGCTACACAGCGAGCGACTGAACATCACAACAGGATCTGCTCTTAAAGTCAGCAAACTATATACTCAGCTTCAAAAATACCACAACACTTGAGGGAGACTCAGACAGCAAGGCACAAGAGATATAAAACCCTCACGTTTGTGCTCTGCCCCAAGAAAGGAACCCAACTGTCAGCTGAAGTTCAGACAGAAATGTTACTGTGAGGAATCTCGCAACCATTGGGGATCATGTCCTCGTGCAACCTTCTCGCACATATGCCACTGATCACACACAGGGCGTATTTCCCCTCATACACATGAAGTGCACTGCTTCGGCTCCTATAGGAACTGGTATGTTTAAACGTACAGGAAAGAGACTTGCTGTTAGTAAACTAAGGAGTCTGGGAGCAGTAAGAGTGTCAGAGCGTGAACCCTGCGGTGTGCCTTCACATCTGACTGTAAAGAGGATTTGTGGCTCCATACGATTCAGTTCACGTCTAGGGCACCAGAACCCGCTCCACTGATCCCGACCGTACAGACTGAAAGAAAGACATCCAACAACACACATTCTGGCTTGTTCCGCTTTAACAATGGGCTCTACCACTGGAGGGTGAATGTGCAAATAATCGCAACGGTTCAAATTTGACATCATGGTCTGACTATGTGAGTGGTTTATTTTGATGTGGCCGGCGTGAAGGAGTAACACTGTGAAACTGAAGTTGGATTCTCCTACATAGAATCAGGTTCATTTAGGCTCATTTTTCTGTAAAAAAAATAAATAAAAATAAAACAAATCCCAAAGCAGTGTAGCCGCAAACCCCCAACGTGCTTCCCTCTATACCCACGATTCCCCAGACACAAAGAGGACCTGAGATTTGGTTTCTTTGTTCTAGGAAGCAGGAGTTTACCTAGTTTTAATGAGCGTGGGCAGGTCACGGACTAAACGCGGGCTCCTCGCATAAGCGGCGGGTAGCTGCTGTGCTCCATTAGCTTCATAAAACAAGGCTGACGCTAACCAAATTACACACATTTACTTTGATCAAGACGCAAGGAGCCCCGCCGTGCTACTTTTATTGCTGTCTTTAGGCAACAATTTTAATACCTGCATTACTAACAATCCGCTGTGGCAGCACGGGCTGGCGCGCACACGTCTCTGTTCTTGTCGGTGAGCCGTACACACAGAAGGCCTTGTGATAAGCGGAGATGGAAGGAGCTGATTTAATATATAGCATATTGGAAAACGGCTGAAGCTGGGAAACATTTTCTTATTGATTGCTTCCGTGTGTGGTGACAGAATGTGTTAGTGGCTAATGAGAGCATGCTCCCTGAGGAACACTGGCTAAAACAGCTAAGAAAAGAGGAAGAGCTTGTGAGTATAAGTGTGGAGATTACAAATGGACAAGTAGAGGCAATCGCAATTCTGATGATAAGAGGTTAGTTAAACACGCAACGCTGTCTAAAGGGATTAGAACCTGGAGCGCTACGTGAGGAACCTCACTGGTCTGGTTGAGAGAAATACTCTTCAACTTATACTGTAGCCAAATACCACAGCATTATCAAAATAAACTATTCCATTATCCGCATTATACAGTGGCCTAGGCCATGAGTGACTCACTGCATGAGAAGGTCTTGGCACTCTGGGTGCGTAGAACTGAAATTTAATATGTACCTGAACTACCCGCATTTCAAAACTTAAACCATCCACATCTGCAATAGCCATATTTCTGTTACACTTCAGTGTGAAGAATGTACATAGACATGACAAAGGGGTCATATGATACGATTTCAAGTTTTCCTTTCTCTTTGGAGTGTTACAAGCTCGTGGTGCATAAATAAGATCTGTAAAGTTGCAAAGACTAAAGTCTCAAATCCAAAGAGATATTCTTTATAAAAGTTAAGAGTCAGCCACGCCCTCCTAAAACGGCTCGTTCTAACACGCCCCCACATCTCTACGTCACTATGTGGAAATATTAGCATAATGCCGCCCAAATGTGCACGCAAAGAAAGAAGGCGTAACTTTAATTCTTGCTGTTTCCGCCGCTGCCATGTTGTGGAGTCGCTGTGTGTTTCGTTGTGAAAGCGAAACTACTTTGTTTGGTCTTCCAGCCAATCACAATGCACTGGGTCAGCTGGCCAATCAGAGCAGACTGCGCTTGTCAAAGGAGGGGGCTTTGTTGAAAACGACGCGTTTGAGAGAGGCGGGGCATAGAGGACCTACAATAATGTACAGTATTTGAAAAATAATGTGTTTTTTGAACATTAAAGCATGTCAACATATTCTGTTACAACAAATACACAAAATAATGATCTTTAAAATAGCATCATATGACCCCTTTAAGGAACAGCCTGTGATGCGTGCCATGTGATGTGTGTTGCTTAATGAAGGGGTTTTCAAATCAAAGATCCTTCAAATATGATGAACCCCATGTGAGGGAACCCTTCCAAAAATAAAAAGGAAGCTATATGTTTTTATGTATATATATAAAAACAATGTATAATGTGTAAGACAAATAAGCTTCATTTAGCTTTAAAATGATAAAAAATATTATCTAAATTAAAATATAAAATATCTAGCATTTGTGAATTTTTTTTCTACCAATTATTACCGCAATGGTGATATAAACAAAAATCTTTAAAATAAATGTAGAAAAAACAAACAATAATTTATTATACTGATTTTGCTTTTTCATGGATCCCCTTACAAAAATATAAAGGAAGCTATATATATATTTTTTTTTTAAGTATAAAAACCCACTTTTGTGTAAAAAAAAGCATGATTTAACATACTTTATCTACTATTACAGCAATGCAGGTATAAATTTAAAAAAAACTGTTAAATAAATAAATAAAATTAATTTCACATTTGGAAAAATCTTTTTCCTCCCCACATCAACCTCCAAACATGCAAACAGTTTGAAAACTCAAAACCCCAAAAAATTCTTAATGTTAAATGGTGTTGACAATACCCCATCCTGATTCTTAACTGTCAGCATAATCAATTTAGCCCAATTATTTAAAAACAAATACATATGTATTGCAAAGCAATGTATAGAATTTAACATAGAAACAAGTTTTCAGATATTGCCTAAATCTGCAGAACATTCAATGAGCCTACTGAACAGCAAGTGTGTAATTCTTACCAGAGTCCTTAGCCAGCATTCTTCACAGTGCACGTGCCAACACTGGATGGAGGTGAGTGGCATTGTATATGAGTCCTGAGGTAGAGAAACAAAAGACAAAAAAGAGCCAACGATTAATTTAACCAAGTCAACTGAACATAATTCACATCTAAACACCCACATACACAGCATCAGACGTCACTAGACAGCACCAGCACAGCACAGATCGGCCATGGGGGGCAGGCAGGTGGGCAGTGAGGGAGCGTGTGGGGCAATGCAGGGGTCAGGCGGGGTCAGGCCAATGGGAGCACAGAGAGCCTTACCCTCCGGAGCGGCAGCAGCTTCTTAATCCCACTGCTGGCCGCAGTGGTAGTGCTGCAGCCCGTTACGTAGCCTCTGTACAAACAGTACACGCCGAGCTGCAGGGCCTCTGCGCTCCCGTGCCTCTCGACCGCCTGATTCTTGCCATCAGCCCCTGTTTGGGTCGGCTTGCGCTGCAGGGATATTCAAGAGCGGCACTGAGAACAAGAATGTGGCCGCTACGGCAGGCACAGACACACACATCAAACCAACGGGTGCAGTTATCAACAGAAGCTCTCGGCCAACACTGAGCCAGGATAAAAGGGATGGTTGGGAGTTCGGTTGCATTTTTTCTGTGAATATTAAGTTTGGATATCATGCTAAGCTGTCTGAAACACTTCTAGCACTTTCAGTCCAAATAATTTACTGAGAATACATTTTTTGGTCTGCTATATATCCAATAACCAGCAGGTGGCAGTAGGCCACCACTGGGAAATGCTCAGCCTCAACAGACTGCAAGACACAGAAGCAAAGACAAATGTCTTGAATCTTTCCAATTAAATGATCAAAACATTTACAAGCCTCTTTATTAACAACGCCAGAACTGATCATTCAGTGTATGACTTTAAGGATGTTTTATTTCATTTTAATGAAACTCAAAAGTCAGGATAGATCTAATCTACCTCCAGACCAACAGAGGCATGTCAGATTAGTCAGAAGCACCTACAGGAATAAAGCTGAAAATGTTTAGCATTGATATCCAACAGGATGGCCACTACTTCTAGAAGAACTCCTTCAACAGAACCTTATTGTGCGGGTTAATTTCCAGTCCATGCGAGATTGAAGCCGCAGGAGGGCAAACCATCACAAAGCTTCAGCCGGCTGGGTGCATGATTGCGGGTGTTAGGTTATATCACCACAGCATGTTATTAAGGATGGGTTGCAACCAAACACACCCACATGAACGTACGCAATATTGGCAAGCGAGAGTTCTCACCATGCATATGAGACACTTGTATCGATCTCCTCTGAGGATCTGCTTTTCCAGTTCTCGTATGCGGGCCTTTAGCGCCTCCAGTGTGGTCGCTGTGGAGTCCTCTGTGATCCTGCAGGTAAAAAAAAATTAGAGGTTGGTTAAATTAGAGCACTGCAAACCAGTTTGGCTCATACATAAAGCTGAAAACAGTGGAATGCTAATTACTTTTTAAAAGTTGGTGCAGTCAGGCAAATTTGCAAAGCTACCACACAGCTTCAGTTCAGACAAACACGACTACTAACTCCCAAAAACACTAATGCAAAATTAAAAACAGACGGCCCAACTGGAAACAGTGAATTCATCACTGCTAAGGACCATGATGTCAATATGAACTAATATGTTTTTCTTTATTGTACCACCATTTCAATCTTATTAAACAGGGCACTGGGCTTCCTCAGTCCTCTGAGGTCACACTCGCACCAGTTCCCCCAACTTCTCACCTCTCAGGCTTTCACTAAACATCCCGCAGACAAATGCCTCTCAGCTGCTGAATGTATATTTAACACTGTCCACAGCATATGAACTCGCAATAACTAAATCAATATGGCCACCATTGATTGTGCTGCGAGGTGCTTGGCGAGATGTTTATGGTGATCTGCTCATTTTCCAGCCAGATGGAGCACTGATCTACAGTATTGATTTAACGTTGCGCCAGCGTTCTCCTAGGCACAATCCCCCCGATTAGTGCCTGCCGTTCCACTGCCTTTTCCAATAGCTTCATTTATTACATGCCTGTGTGACTCCACAATGAGTACACGCTCACCACACACACTAGGACATGGGCCTCTCGGTAATCAGGCAGTATTAGAATGTAAATCAAGGAAGGGCTATTAAAACGGAAAGAACCATTTATGGACTCAGCATCTCCAATAAGGCCAACCTAAAGGAAGAACAATGACAGTGTAGCTGAAGAATCATTGGCACTTTGAGAAGTAAAGCTTAAAATCTGGCAGCCAGGAATTTAACACATCCTATTTCATTTAAAGTTGCGATGACTTGAAGTAGCAACAGATCTTTTCTTCTGTATTGTGACACGAACAAGAAATATTGAAAAAGAAATAAGGGCAGAGACTTCTTACAATCCATCGGCTGTTGATTGGATGGAGGTTGGGTTTATAGGATAAAATGATTGGAGAAGTTTGATAAATTACTAGGGATGCATCGATCCGATACTCAGGATACTCCGGTATCGGCTCCGATACTGCCATTTTCTGCTGGATCGGATATCGGCAAGACGAGACCGATCCAAATCCGATATTGTGCATATACTATGCTGTGTTATTGTTAAGCCCCACGAAAGGTACAAAAACATTATAAAGCACCATAAAGTTTTCGTGCACTATATATTAAGTGTTCTTAAGCCGTTCCATAGTAGTTCCCCACTAAATATTGTTGTTTCACTAAATGTTTAGTTCAGTTTAATGTTTTTATAAAATGATTGTGCACCCATGATTTTTCTAGAATAACTTTTGCTGCTGAATTATCCACTAACCTAGTTTATAATAGTATTTTTTGTTAGATTATGATTATATTCTTTTTCATTTGTTATTTTTCATTAAAATGAAGTTGTCTATAATTAGCAGATTGTGTTTAACATACACAAGAGTGATGATCAGGTCAACACACAGAAGTATAGAAATTCTACATTGATTCGGCTCCGATACTGCCATTTTCTGCTGGATCGGATATCGGCAAGACGAGACCGATCCAAATCCGATATTGTGCATATACTATGCTGTGTTATTGTTAAGCCCCACGAAAGGTACAAAAACATTATAAAGCACCATAAAGTTTTCGTGCACTATATATTAAGTGTTTTTAAGCCGTTCCATAGTTTAATGTGAAGCATAGATGAATATTTAAGTCAAGTTCACGTAAACTCGTCTCCCCGCTGCATCTGTCTGTCATCCTCCATTCAGCATTCAAACTGCGTGTCGCGTTCGGTTACTACAGTCAAAATGACGAAACTCTCTTCAAGAGCGCACAATAACCAAGATTTAAAACTGTTAAAAGAAAAGGCTCAATAAAATATCACATAGATATAATACACTACGCAGCAATATCTCTTCCCTTTTTTTATGCGGAGCGCTGTGTGCTGTGACTCCGTGTTGCTTCAAGCGCATGTTACAAGGTCAAAACACATAAAAACATGCTTGGATAAATCGGTCACAATAAGATCTACATGTATTTAGAAAACAAAGGGTGAATTTTTTTTTTCATTTAATGTCAATAAAGAAGATGTTAGTAAAACTCTGAAGTCTGACATCTTCAGGCATCTTCTCAAGGTCACCCTAAACCTAACCCAGGTTTCTCTCAAAAAGCCCCCAACAACACAACGACCTTGACCAAGGAGAGCGAGTCGTCCGGACGGTCAATTCCCTACAGCCTACAATCAGCACAGGGACTATAAAGCTTTAAAATCTCTTCTTATTAGTGGCCGGCTTGTAAAAAAGCATTTAGTCTTGATTAGCGTGCATGCTTATAAAGCAGACAGGAGAGTAGGTGTACCGTGCTCCATGCCTGCTGTTTTTCTTTAACAGCTTCATAAATCGCTGCGGTTCACTTGCCCGTATGCTGTCACCGGCCCTACAAAAGAATACAACTTTTCCCCCCCAAGTAATGCCCGACCCGCTCCAGCATGAATATTCATTGTGTGGTGCTTTATAAAAAACCACATTCTAAAAGTTATTTAATTCCCCCGGGTAATAAAAAAAGGGTTTTATGTGGACGGAGATGGAGAGATGGTTTGGGGGGAGAGCGAGGCTGTGTTTTAATACAAAAGCAGGTGTAAAACCTGGAGAGGGGTGGCTAGGTAAGTTCAAAACTGAAAATCTTTAAGGTGCCGTTGAGTGTGTGGGAAAAAGTTTTAAACATATTAAACACAGGCCTCGGCTCCGCTTTGCAGCGGTGTGCTGGCTGAATAATGCCAATGATGTCATCTAGGGAAGGAATAATGTCATTTCAATTAAGAGTTTACGTTACTCAGGAAACCACAATGAGGACTGACATCCAAACTAATAATGTCACTTACCTACAGCTGTGGTCTATAACGGCACACCCATTATATTAAAAATCTATTTGGATGTTAAAACCAATGACGGACGTGCTGGTCTAATGCTTTATACAGGCATCACTCTCTATTGGGGGATATTTTTATTTTTCAAGCAACAAATTCACAAGTTAAAACAGGAAGTAGATGAAGCTTGCACTGCTATCTCACACTGCCAATACGATCTGGCTCTGAGTGTGAAGCTATTTCTCATTTCATTATCCTGCCCCTTAACCATCTGTCTCCAACAGAGCCGAGCCTAACTGTAGAAGGCGGTCTAATCTATAGGTCTATATGGCCTGACATGAGAACACACGAGTTACAAGTGCAGACAGATACTGGGAGATCTTTATAAAGTCACTTGGCTGCCAATCAATCCTTATATTCAGTTGTGATAGTACGGGTCAGTGCAAACTTTAAATCAAGAGGCTGAGCACAACAGCTTGTAATTAAAAGAAATAAATAAAAAGGAAAAACTTAAATATATATTTAAAAAAAAAATTACAAAAAGAATGATCCTTAAAATCAAAAAGCTTTTTTTTATTGGTTGAAAAGTGCAAAAAAAAAAGTGGCTGGTTTAAAAAAAAAAAGAAAAAAGAAAAACTAAGTCATCATTAATGAATTTGAAAATAAAATTTAATTATTGTGGAGGTACACCAAAAAATTCTGCTGTTTCAAGTTGAGCATGAAATTTGGCTGCAATCACACGGGTGGCAAAGAAGCCCTCATTTATCATGTGCGGAATGAGCGGGGACAGAGGCGACCCCTGTACCCAGAGATCATTACACCATCTGGGCACAGGAGAGCTTGGAGAATTCATCAGCCCCCTCTGCCTTACGAAGACACACATGTATACAATTTACACAACTCACGACACAGTAACACGCTCACCCTCTTACTCCAACACACATACACACACACACAATCCACAATGAATCACTGTAACTAAAGGGGACAAGTCTCATTTTCATTGCAGATTGAAATGCATGTGTTTTACAAACAGTGGGCTTGGGATTGTTTTCAGGCTGAAAGTGGAATGAAATGATTTCAGCTCCTTATGTGGCCTCTTTAAAGCTCGCTCAGATTAAGACCCCTCACTTCAGGAAATTGGAAATTAAAAAATGGCACAGTCATTCCCGTAAATTTGCATGCTTCATCCATTTGACGCACACCATGAAGAAAAGACAAAACCACAAGTACGTAATTTTTGTGAAGCTAAAATTCAAAAGCTACAGCAACTGCCTTGTGTTTCGGCTAGGAAAGAGTTACTACACCTCCCTCCCACTTCTCATGACCCCTCAGGATTTGATTAATGATATCATCATTGAGATTTATCTCCCTGGCCCCTTTCATAAGACAATATCGCGCAACATCCTGTGATACCTGATCAAATCAGCAAAAGAAAAAAGGAGAGGTGCTCTTCGGAGGAGAGGGCTCTACTGTCGGGGAGAGATGGATAGATTCAGACGGAGGGCCGAGGAGGACGGGCACAGACTGGGAGAAATATTGCGAGCGATATTAAATAAACGAGTGTGTGTCACGTCTGGAGCTAAGCGCTAAGCTAATAAAACGGGTGGCGGGTGGGTTGTGCTCATTGCTCGCTCTTCTCTATGACATCAAACAGCTGCAGTGATTCATACCCCGGCCGGTTAAAACACTTAATGCCCCCCGATACAACGCTACGGCTAGTCTAAATGGTTGCCTGGTGCTCGGAGGGAGGGCGAAAGTGAGCAAGTCTCTACGGAGGAAAGCAATGAATCAATCTAAGCTGTCACGCTCCTGCAGCTCCACTTAGGAATCCCGTTCTGTCCATTTTCATCCTCCTACTTGCACACCCACGCTCGGACAGAGACACACAGTGTTCATAACATCATCCACTAACATTCATTTCCACACACTCAGTCATAAACCTATCAAGCAACTGTGTGCAAAGTCACGCTTTTAACCGCTGGTCGTGATAAACGTGGTTAACAAACGCGATTTCAATTGCAGACCGGAGCCGACATCAAGCTTGCGCTACAGATGAAGTCATTCGCAGACGCACACTTGACTGGAGATGGGTGAGAAGAACGTGCTCACGACGTGCTGACGAGAAAAATCAATTGCTTCGGGTCTGCTGTGCTTATTCATTAGTTATCCGCCCCTGATATTTAATATGGGGCCCCGTGATGGCCGCCCGCACAAGATTGATTCAGCTACACTAGAAGACTCTCCCTAGAGAAGAAGGCTCAGAGGAGACAAGAGACAGACAGAGAGGACAATGAATTGCGGGGGTGCATTTTAGAAATACTCAGGAATGTTCTCGTTATTAAAAAATAAAAATTGTGTTGGTGAAAATGTAAACGTAAAATATAATAATTCTATATAAAAACAAAAACATGTATTTTTAAAACACTAAAATAAACAAAAATATATATATATATATATATAAAAAAAACCGTATAAATCAAAGTAAATATTATTGAAATTAAAAAAAAAAAAATATATATATATATATATATAAAAAAAAAAAAAAATTAAAAAAAAATCAAAATTAGCTTTATTGTCTGTGTAAAAACTGTGCATATATATATATATATATATAAGTCAGTCTGCTAAGAGTGTGTCACACAATTTATTCAACTTGTACACGTGACTTTTTTGTTTTCTTTTTTCAGAAAAAAATTTAAATCTATCATTAATCAATTAATGCGAACTAAAATATCTCCTGATTGAGAGTAGTGCTGGGCAACGATTAATTGCGATTAATCATAATTTATATTATATATAAATATATTTAATATATAAACATAATATATTTTTCTTAAATATATACATGCATTTGTGTGTATTTATATATACACAATATACACAGTACACATATTATGTACACAAAAACCTTTATTTTGGATGCAATTAATCGTTGCCCATCACTAACCACACTACAAACGAAAAATTGGCACTGCCTTGGACAACCCTGCACAGTGGGATTAAACAAGGATAGAGACAGGACATGGGTCATGTGGACTGACAGCTGTGTTCCCGCTGTTGGGTAGGCAGAGTGAGGTATGTCTGTGGCTAACATGTTAACCCTGGTCCAGCTCTAGACAGCAGGGGGGGGATCAAACCAGGACAGTCGCACCGCCCCTCTTCTACCAGGAGCTGCGCTCTGACCCCAATTACCCATTCACTGGGGCTGGGCCCCCACGCACGCAAGTGGGAGGAGAGTTTAGAAGGAGCACTTGTCTGGGAATATGGATGAGGACACAGAGATGAGGGAATTACAGGGGCCGGCCTTTCACCCACTCAGGTTATTCAAATTTATCTGCGGCTGGAGGCTGCCTGCTACACTCCCTCCATCTTGTTTTCTCTCTCAGTGGAGTGCAAGGATTCATCTCACTTTCTCTGTGCTCCCTTGTTGTCTGATGGTACACTTTTATTTGCAAGACGGTTCTCTTTAAATAACATTTGTAGGTAATACAGATAGTATAAGTTTCAGGCCACATGAACACTTTTTCTTCCATTAACATGCTTATTTGAAGCATCTGAGAGGTGTGTTGCCAACAATTTCACTTTATCTAGCTTCACCTCTCGCAATAAGAGATCAATATATTGCACAATTCCTGCAGTGAAAAGCTGTAGTATGGAAATGGCTAAAGGGATATTAGCATTCCCGGGCTGTGCGGCGAGTCAAGCCCAGACAAGTCTCAGCTGCCTGGGATCAATACTCTGGGCCACTCCCTGTGATCAAGCATGCTCCGGAGAGATGAGCACACTAAATGCATCATTTATGATCTTGCAGTCCCTACACAAACTAATCTCACCCCAATACACCAGCAAACACACTGCCACTACGGACAGGTGCGTGTTTGTACTCACTTCTCGATCTCGCTGTTTTTACAGGTCCTCGGTGTGGAGGACAAAGATGAAGAGCTTGGCTCCTGTTTGCTGCTCTCGCCATTACTTGTGGATGGCATTTCTGCAAAAACAGACACAAACAGAACATATATAATGAATGAGGGCCAACAAAAGCAACGTTTCATTTTATAACAATCTAACTCAAATATATAGACAAAAAAGCTTCCTAATTTTTTTTTTTTTATCAGATTGAATGCACACAAATTAAATACTTTAAAGCACAACTACAAAAATGTATATACTTATTGCGCAAATGTTTGTTTTTTGTTCTTTTTAACCATTTATTTGACAAAAAAACGCAGCAAAAACAGTAATACTGTGAAATGTTATTACAATTTAAAATAACATTACTATTTTAATACATATTTGAGTTAATATATTAAATCTGATTTAAAATATTACATTTACTATATTTAATACACCACAAAACATTTTATTTTTCAGGATTCTCTGATGAACAAAGTTCAAAAGAACAGCAATTATTTGGAGGCCAACTCACCATCACTGGCCCATTTTGAGAACTCTGGTGTTATTCTATTGGACGGCACACCACCACTATAGAAAAACAAAACAAAAAAACAGAAATTTAGCATAAGGGCCAAGTCTACAGATTTGTTATTTGTCATTTTAAAGTCTGTGATGAAATCATTTCAGCTTACTTCAAAACAGCCCCACGCAGTGCCTCACGTTCTTTGGCCTCTCCCTGGTCCTCTCCAGAACAAGGAATGATGTCTGCTTCAGTGTACCTGAAACCTTGAGTTAAGGAACAAATGCATCTAATTTCAGTTACTGTTTCCGTGCCTACTACAGTGCCACTGAAGAGCAAGATGTCTCAAGACGACTAATCAAGGATACTGGGCTTTGCCATACTCCAGTGTGTCATCTCCATCCACATCCAGGTCTGCATCACTGTCATGGCTCTCCTTCGCCCTACACATGGCAAAGCCTGTTCCTAAAAAGAGGGAGGAGAGGAATAAGAGTCATCAGTAAATGAAATTTGGGTTTAAATCCTGTTGCATTTAATAATACACATTATACATTACAATAAATCTGTCACTCCAACTGTAACAAATCCAGGACAGGTTTGTCATGCCAGAGAAACCCCAATTAGAAAGGCCTGTTCTAGCTGTGAGCAGAACCAGATTACTGAAGACAAGCAAGGAGCCTGGTACTCTGGGCCCAGATGGAGCCATCAGAGACAGTCTGAATGGGAGTTGTGTCAGGTGCCTGTCAGGGTGTAGGTCCTGAGCACTGGGGCGTGCAGCCTGAGTGGCACTTCTATAAATCCAGTGATGAGCACACAGACAAACTCCAGCAGCTGGCTGACTGGGTCCTTCAGTTCTGGTTAGGAAGAGGTTGGATCGGCAGCAGCCTGAAGGGTGGGAGCAGCCCGCAGAGACCCAGAGTCTGATTGAGCCGTGAAAGGCTGGAATGGGCCGGGCCCCTCCGGGGCTGATGGAAGGATGTCAGGGCACTGCTGGAGAACGGGTTTGTCACGGATGAGGAGCTGAAGTAGGAAATGGAAGTGGAGAATGGTACTTCCTCTTGTTCCTCAAAGCGCTACGACACGGGATGACTACCTCACAGTGTGGAGTGGATAAGTACAACCTTCAGGGAGAGTGTAAGGCACTGACGGAAAAGAGAAGGACTGAAAGTGGATGCGGCCATGATCCGTTTCTCCCCTTCTCCGTAAAGGGATCCAAAAGAGGCAGAGTAGGGATAAAATGCATCACAAATGCTTGCCCTTTTTTTACAATGTGCCGATGGTTTTTAGTGATCAAATAAAAGAGACCTTTTAAGTTTTATTTGGTCTCCGTGACTGCAGAGGCATATGCGCACCATAGCTGAGCTACATAAATCCGAGCTCCTCAAACAGAGAATCAGGGTTCAACTGTGCACACCAGTCTAAATTTACATTACTTTCCAACAATAACTTACAGAATTAAACATATCTGTTTATTAGACTACCTTGCACTTAGAGCAGGGGTGTCAAACTCAATTCCTGGAGAGCCGGAGCCCTGCAGAGTTTTGTTCCAACCCTGCTCCAACACAGAAACCATGTAGTTTTCAAATAAGTCTGATGGACTTGATTGGTTGGATCAGGTGTGTTTAATTAGGGTTGAATCTAAACTCTGCAGGGCTCTGGCCCTCCAGAAATTGAGTTTGACACCCCTGGCTTAGAGTGTCTGTCCATTGACATTTACCGATAACACTAACAAATGACAAAGCATTCTGTTAATAAATTAGTCTCTCATGCTCACTAAGGCTGCTTTTATTAGATCAAAAATACAGTAAAACGGTACTAGTGTGAAATATTGCGATTTAAAATAACTTTTCTATTTTAATATGTTTCATAAATTTAATTCATTCATTTTTTTATTCTCAATGTTCAAAACAGTTATGCTGCTTAATATTTTTTGGAAACTGTAATACATTCAGGATTCTTTGATAAACCTACAGTTCAAAATAATAGCATTTATTTGAAACTGAAATTTTTTGTAACATTATGTCTTTACTGCTTTCTTTTTTTTGTTTCTAATCAATTTAATGTGTCCGTATTGGATGAAAGTATTCTTTAAAAAAATACACTTTTGAAACCCAGACTTTTGAACAGTACTGTAGCTTGGTCAGAAATGTTTAACAGAATTTAAAGGGGTCATATGACGTTGTTAAAAAGAACATTATTTTGTGTATTTGGTGTAATGCAATGTGTTTATGTGGTTTAAGGTTAAAAAAAAACACATCATTTTCCACATACTGTACATTATTGTTTCTCCTCTATGCCCCACCTTTCTGAAACGCGTCGATTTTTACAAAGCTCATAGCAGCGGCGGCAACAGCGAGAATAAATGTTACACGTTCTTTCTTTGCGTGAACATTTGGGCGGCGTTATGCAAATCTTCCCACATCGTGACGTAGACATGTGGGGGCTTGTTTGAATGAGACGTTTTAGGAGGGCGTGGTTGACGCTTAACTTTTATAAAGAATATCTCTTTGGATTCAGGACTTTAGTCTTTGCAACTTTACAGATCTTCTTTATGCACCAAGAGCTTGTAACACTCCAAAGAGAAAGGAAAAATTGAAATCACATCATATGACCCTTTAAGTATGGGCAAGCTTTAATCATAGTGGCACTGAAGTGCAAGAAAGGAAGGAAAGTGTGCAGCTCCATTAAAACATGAACTGTGGGTTCTGTGTTTGGCATCACCTCATTCCGGCTTGCAAATAGTGTAAGTGGTCTATAGATAACACTACCAATCCTCTGACCCAACTGAAAGGGGTGGAAGGGTACAGTCAGCCAAAAATAAAAGACCATAATCTGTAAATGATGGCAAACATTTCATTAATGCACTGTCGACAAGCTGCAAAGAAAGCCAAACCGGGGGAAAAATGAGGGAAAAGCTAATAAACATAATGTAGTGACCACTAATGGCAGGCAGGCCAGAGGAAGATGTGGCAGGCCGTAAGCAGCCAAAAGAAAAAAAAAATCACTGTTAATTCGATCAATTGATCAGGCTATGGATCCTGGCTAATGCTTTGCTAGAACCAGGGCAGAAAGGATGTCATGCAGCATTGATTCAGCATGGACAGGAAGACTGTCCGCTTTAGTGCGTACACTGACAAAATCTAGCCAGACTGAAAAAAGCACAGCAAACCTACTCAGGCAACCACAACTTCAAAACGGCCACCTGAATGGTGTATAACTACCCGAGCAATGTTGTAAGTGTGTCTGACTGTGAAAGCTGGGGCCACTGTTAAGCGGTCTTGGCAGGCAATCTAATCTGTGCCGAAAAGGTCAGTGCCACTCTAACTGCCTCTCAGTCAAATTATGCACATCGTCGCACCGCCTCTTTGCCCGGCAGCCTCTAGGACATAAGCTTACTCATCTTCTTAGTCACTGTGTACAGTGGATGAATAAAAAACTCACTTACAACGTAGCCTGTATTTACCTGTATTGCTCTGCAACACTTTGCATGACAATAACAGCCATTTGCAATGAGTCATGTTCAAAGCAAGTCCTGTATCCATTTAAATGTTAAGTCGTCACATGCATAAAGCACATTTTCCTTGTCGGGTCACATTTTGCAAGCTGATTTACATATGCCATGATTGTTAAGTGCTAATCTACATATGTCACCCAAGACAGGTGTGTCATGTCGCAGCTAAGAAAGGGGAAGCAGAGATCCCAGAGAAACAGGACATGAAACATGGCCTCTCCTCCACCTCGTTGCCATGACACTTATCTGACTTCCGCAGTATGTGTCGCAGGTCAGAGTTCACCCAATCAGGATGGCATTTACCATGTACGCCTGCCAGGGAGGGGGCTCAAAGCTGCCATCTCTCAAGGTTCTTTACAAAGACGAGCGGCGGGCCTCTGTTCTTCTTTCCCGACTGCACCAAATCTCCTCCATCTCTGCCTGTGACTGCCATCGCTATCTCTTCATCAGCACAACAGCCCTGCTAAGCCACGGACACAGGAGGCCTTACGGGCCTCCACCACAAACTGATCCTCTTCGATTTCTCTCTTCCTCTCGGTCTCCCTTTTCCCTTATCATGCTCTTTTTGTTCGGTTTAAAGCGTTTCCTCTCTGCTTTCTTCCCGGGTCCTCAAAGAGAGAGAGGTGCTGGTGCTTCAGAGACGATAGCCCTCTTATCCCATTGAAGACTCCTTTCAAGCCCCCCTCCCCAGTCTAGCTCCCCTGGGCTGGAGGGATTCTGCAATGCAGACCGATTGAACGCTTGAGGACTTCAGCTGAGCTTTCAAGGCAAAATCCACCTTCTGAGCATCCTGGGGGGAGCTTTCAAGCGGCCCCTGGGCCACCGAGTCACTTCTCACCAGGTCCCCCCTCTATCGCCATTACACCGGTGCCTGTGCTGAAGATAAAGGGCTGGCGAGCTTCTGTACAGACACATGGCTCTGTTCACATGCAGAATTGATCTGGGCCACCGTCTGTCTAGCCGGGCGTTAGAGGAGCAAGTCTGTTTCTTTTCTTAATCCACACAGCTTTGCAATCTGTTCTCTCCTTGGGATCAAAAAGCCTTTCCATTTAAGAGCGCAGAAGTTTACAAAAGACCGCTGAGGGAGGAGACTAACTCCTTTTCTAAATATGAAACGAACAGTGAGGGGGGAAAACTGAGACGTTCACTTAGCACTTCCTCTAAAGCACCAACTCCACAAACTTAACCGAAGAAATAAACCCCTTTCAAAACAACTGATCCAACATTGAGAAAAGTTCCAAGATAAAAATCTCAAGTATGGAGGAATGACTGACACTTCCTCCCAAGTGTAAAAATAATCTGAAGGGGTAAATTATTTATGAACCAACTAGAATTCCCTTGAAAGTCTTTCAATGAGTGTGGCAGCACATCAAAAAGGGTCTTAGGGAGCGTGTGTGTATGTGATAGAGAACGTCCCAGGTGAGCAGAGTTAGGTTGGGAGCTATAATTGCATTCCTGCAGCGGGGGAAGCCCAAGGGGCAGCGGCCTATTTTTCTCACACACATCTCTGAACTGGGTGAGGCGGGTCAATTGCACAGCTAAATGTGTTTTCCTTTGACTCCTTAAAGGCTGAGCAGGGCCTGCCAGAACTCACCTTGTCTGGACTACAGCCGTCTAGCGTATAAATGAACACACACATGCCACTTGAATACGCTGATCTTGGGGTACATCGAGAAAGAAATGTATGTACCCTTTTTAAACCGCTTTAAAGGTTGTGGTGATCTTTGAAAGCTATTTTGACAACCTTGGAATATAAACTTCAATTAAAAAAAACCTTCACTAAACTTTAAGAAATGTTTCTTGAGCACCAAATCAGTTATATTAGAATAATTTCTGAAGGATCATGTGACACTGAAGACTGGAGAAATGGCTGCTGAAGTAACAGTAATAAAATACATTTTAAAATAGATTAAAATAATAAAAAACAGCTATTTTAAATTGACATAATATTTCGCAATATTACTGCTTTTACTGCTTTTACTGCAAATCAGCACAGCCTTGGTGAGCACAACAAATTCCTTTAAAAACGTAAGAAAATGCCATAAATGCCATAACTCTGAAACCACCTTCCAGTAATGTAGTAGCTCGGACCCTCTTCTGTCCGCACCACTCGTACTCCTCAAACCGCGTTCCGTTCTCTCCTTCAACATCTGCGGAATCCTCTTCTGTTGCACCTTCCCTCTGAAAGAGCAAAACCACTTATCAAACATGTACCAACACACTTCAATCGGTTCATTCAATATAAAAAGACAAAACCACAAAGTGTGACTACAACAGAGGAAATCAAAGCAGTGCTTTCAAATCCACTAACTTCTAATGATGTCTAATTTTAGGAGCTATCAAACCACATGCAACAGAACACCCGACTCCAACCACCAAGAGTGCATTAGTATCATAAGAACTACTGGATTAGATGGGTTAAGAGGAACCTGCTATATAATATAAAGGGCAAGTGCTGCATCCTGAACCACTAAAAAGAGGGAAGCCAGTCAGACTGTGTGAACAACAGATTCCACTGAGCCTCTTTAGAAACTGTTTAATGACAATATAGTAGAATATCTTTAAAGTAGGTTCAGGACGCAGAAACTGCCAACCAAATCTAAGTGGAGGAGGAGGAAGAACACTTCAGGAAAGAGCTAATCCTTCAACTATTCCCTGGACACCCATGTAGGAATACAACATAGGTGTAATCAGAAGAAACTAATTCCCAGAAACATTTATATACATGTCTGTGTTTTTGTCAGATGGCTGATGTCCAGGAAAAGGTGAGGGCAGAAAAGCCAAAGCTTCTAGAGGAGGTTGGAGGCCCAGATCTCTGGGTTTATGAAGCTACCTTGAACAGACATTGTTCCACATGCCTACTCATTTCCTCCTCTGTCCCTGTCAGCGGCGTGCTGCACAGTGGACATACCTGTCCATCCTCAGGCTTCCGGCGCTTCATCTTCCCAATCCGGGCTGCAGCACAAGAAAAAAAGAGAAATAACATGATAAATCAATCTAGGTATCGAAAAAAAAACAAACAAAAAAAAAAACACCAAAAATCTAGATTTTTCTAAATTATTTATTTGATAATAAATAATAATTATTAAAACAATAAATATTTAATTAAATTAAATATGTAATTAATATATATTCCATTAAAACAACTTTAGATTTTAATTATTACATTTATTGATTTATTTACATTAAAACTTGGATACATTAACAGCTAATATGCACAACCAAGGATGTCACAAGAGACACACACACACCGGGGGAAAAATGAGGGAAAAGCTAATAAACATAATGTAGTGACCACTAATGGCAGGCAGGCCAGAGGAAGATGTGGCAGGCCGTAAGCAGCCAAAAGAAAAAAAAAATCACTGTTAATTCGATCAATTGATCAGGCTATGGATCCTGGCTAATGCTTTGCTAGAACCAGGGCAGAAAGGATGTCATGCAGCATTGATTCAGCATGGACAGGAAGACTGTCCGCTTTAGTGCGTACACTGACAATATCTAGCCAGACTGAAAAAAGCACAGCAAACCTACTCAGGCAACCACAACTTCAAAACGGCCACCTGAATGGTGTATAACTACCCAAGCAATGGGTGTCTGACTGAAAAAGCTGGGGCTACTGTTAAGTGGTCTTGGCAGGCAATCTAATCTGTGCCGAAAAGGTCAGTGCCACTCTAACTGCCTCTCAGTCAAATTATGCACATCGTCGCACCGCCTCTTTGCCCGGCAGCCTCTAGGACATAAGCTTACTCATCTTCTTAGTCACTGTGTACAGTGGATGAATAAAAAACTCACTTACAACGTAGCCTGTATTTACCTGTATTGCTCTGCAATACTTTGCATGACAATAAGAGCCATTTGCAATGTGTCATGTTCAAAGCAGGTCTTGTAGCTGTTTAAATGTTAAGTCGTTACATGCATAAAGCACATTTTCCTTGTTGGGTCACATTTTGCAAGCTGATTTACATATGCCATGATTGTTAAGTGCTAATCTACATACGTCACCCAAGACAGGTGTGTCATGCCACAGCAAAGAAAGGGGAAGCAGAGATCCCAGAGAAACAGGACATGAAACATGGCCTCTCCTCCACCTTGTTGCAATGACACTTATCTGCCTTTCACAGTATGTCACAGGTCAAAGTTCATCCAATCAGGATGGCATTTACCATGTATGCCTGCCAGGGAGGGGGCTCAAAGCTGCCATCTCTCAAGGTTCTTTACAAAGACGAGCGGCGGGCCTCTGTTCTTCTTTCCCGACTGCACCAAATCTCCTCCATCTCTGCCTGTGACTGCCATCGCTATCTCTTCATCAGCACAACAGCCCTGCTAAGCCACGGACACAGGAGGCCTTATGGGCCTCCAACACAAACTGATCCTCTTCGATTCCTCTCTTCCTCTTGGTCTCCCTTTTCCCTTATCATGCTCTTTTTGTTCGGTTTAAAGCGTTTCCTCTCTGCTTTCTTCCCGGGTCCTCAAAGAGAGAGAGGTGCTGGTGCTTCAGAGACGATAGCCCTCTTATCCCATTGAAGACTCCTTTCAAGCCCCCCTCCCCAGTCTAGCTCCCCCTGGGCTGGAGAGATTCTGCAATGCAGACCGATTGAACGCTTGAGGACTTCAGCTGAGCTTTCAAGGCAAAATCCACCTTCTGAGCATCCTGGGGGGAGCTTTCAAGCGGCCCCTGGGCCACCGAGTCACTTCTCACCAGGTCCCCCCTCTATCGCCATTACACCGGTGCCTGTGCTGAAGATAAAGGGCTGGCGAGCTTCTGTACAGACACATGGCTCTGTTCACATGCAGAATTGATCTGGGCCACCGTCTGTCCAGCCGGGCGATAGAGGAGCAAGTCTGTTTCTTTTCTTAATCCACACAGCTTTGCAATGGGTTCTCTCCTTGGGATCGAACAGCCTTTCCATTTAAGAGCGCAGAAGTTTACAAAAGACCACTGAGGGAGGAGCCTAACTCCTTTTCTAAATATGAAACTAACAGTGAGGGGAAAAACTGAGATGTTTTTGATAGACATTCACTTAGCACTTCCTCTAAAGTGCCAACTCAACAAACTTAACTGAAGAAATAATACCCCTTTCAAAACAACTGATCCAACATTGAGAAAAGTTCCAAGATAAAAATCTCAAGTATGGAGGAATGACTGACACTTCCTCCCAAGTGTAAAAATAATCTGAAGGGGTAAATTATTTATGAACCAACTAGAATTCCCTTGAAAGTCTTTCAATGAGTGTGGCAGCACATCAAAAAGGGTCTTAGGGAGCGTGTGTGTATGTGATAGAGAACGTCCCAGGTGAGCAGAGTTAGGTTGGGAGCTATAATTGCATTCCTGCAGCGGGGGAAGCCCAAGGGTCAGCGGCCTATTTTTCTCACACACATCTCTGAACTGGGTGAGGCGGGTCAATTGCACAGCTAAATGTGTTTTCCTTTGACTCCTTAAAGGCTGAGCAGGGCCTGCCAGAACTCACCTTGTCTGGACTACAGCCGTCTAGCGTATAAATGAACACACACATGCCACTTGAATACGCTGATCTTGGGGTACATCGAGAAAGAAATGTATGTACCCTTTTTAAACAGCTTTAAAGGTTGTGGTGATCTTTGAAAGCTATTTTGACAACCTTGGAATATAAACTTCAATTAAAAAAAACCTTCACTAAACTTTAAGAAATGTTTCTTGAGCACCAAATCAGTTATATTAGAATAATTTCTGAAGGATCATGTGACACTGAAGACTGGAGAAATGGCTGCTGAAGTAACAGTAATAAAATACATTTTAAAATAGATTAAAATAATAAAAAACAGCTATTTTAAATTGACATAATATTTCGCAATATTACTGCTTTTACTGCATTTTTTTCAAATCAGCACAGCCTTGGTGAGCACAACAAATTCCTTTAAAAACGTAAGAAAATGCCATAAAATGCTTACCTCTGAAACCACCTTCCAGTAATGTAGTAGCTCGGACCCTCTTCTGTCCGCACCACTCGTACTCCTCAAACCGCGTTCCGTTCTCTCCTTCAACATCTGCGGAATCCTCTTCTGTTGCACCTTCCCTCTGAAAGAGCAAAACCACTTATCAAACATGTACCAACACACTTCAATCGGTTCATTCAATATAAAAAGACAAAACCACAAAGTGTGACTACAACAGAGGAAATCAAAGCAGTGCTTTCAAATCCACTAACTTCTAATGATGTCTAATTTTAGGAGCTATCAAACCACATGCAACAGAACACCCGACTCCAACCACCAAGAGTGCATTAGTATCATAAGAACTACTGGATTAGATGGGTTAAGAGGAACCTGCTATATAATATAAAGGGCAAGTGCTGCATCCTGAACCACTAAAAAGAGGGAAGCCAGTCAGACTGTGTGAACAACAGATTCCACTGAGCCTCTTTAGAAACTGTTTAATGACAATATAGTAGAATATCTTTAAAGTAGGTTCAGGACGCAGAAACTGCCAACCAAATCTAAGTGGAGGAGGAGGAAGAACACTTCAGGAAAGAGCTAATCCTTCAACTATTCCCTGGACACCCATGTAGGAATACAACATAGGTGTAATCAGAAGAAACTAATTCCCAGAAACATTTATATACATGTCTGTGTTTTTGTCAGATGGCTGATGTCCAGGAAAAGGTGAGGGCAGAAAAGCCAAAGCTTCTAGAGGAGGTTGGAGGCCCAGATCTCTGGGTTTATGAAGCTACCTTGAACAGACATTGTTCCACATGCCTACTCATTTCCTCCTCTGTCCCTGTCAGCGGCGTGCTGCACAGTGGACATACCTGTCCATCCTCAGGCTTCCGGCGCTTCATCTTCCCAATCCGGGCTGCAGCACAAGAAAAAAAGAGAAATAACATGATAAATCAATCTAGGTATCGAAAAAAAAACAAACAAAAAAAAAACACCAAAAATCTAGATTTTTCTAAATTATTTATTTGATAATAAATAATAATTATTAAAACAATAAATATTTAATTAAATTAAATATGTAATTAATATATATTCCATTAAAACAACTTTAGATTTTAATTATTACATTTATTGATTTATTTACATTAAAACTTGGATACATTAACAGCTAATATGCACAACCAAGGATGTCACAAGAGACACACACACAGAGTCTAACAGTAAAAAAAAAACACCATTCAGAAAGAGCGAGCAGCATTAATCTCACATAAAAACCCCACATAGATCAGGATCCTTTACAGATTTAGCTTGAGGCTAGTAGGCATCTCCAACCATGGATTTTACTGAGGCAAGAAAGATGAGCTGCAAAACACGACAGTGACGTGATAGGGCTGAGAGGTGAACTCTGTCCATCAGACCTTTGCATCCAAACACCAATTCCTCCTGGTTACATCGGGGACAGGCACGAAACAGCCAGGGCTCTGATCTCTCTGGGTGTCTCGCTCTTCCCCTTCCCCTCCCCGAGCACATAATTAGAAATTTAACACAGCAGAACAGCGCCTATTGCGCCGTAAGTCTCTGTCGCTTTTTCTTAACTGCAAATGGCATGTGGGGACATTAATTTTTAGGTGGCTGTGATTGCGAATGGGGCCGAGGGGGACTGGAGGAGGAGAGGCGGCGAGCTTCTGCCATTACCTCCAGGAGAGGAAGAAGAGAGAGAAGCACCGGCCACGTTGATGGTAATGTGGAGGAGACGGGCATCATTAAATAGCATGAAGAAAGGCAGATTAATTAGGCACGGCAGGAGTTTTTCCTCACTCTGAAATCACAGCGTCTCAGATGAGAGGTGATATACTTTAATATGGGCTCGGGCTTAAACAAAGACAGCCCCATTTGCCCTTACAGTGCCTGCGGCTGCGATAAAGGGGGGAGGGGGTCTTACCATGCCGCAGGCAGCAAGGAGCTAGGGGCACTCTTCTGGGCACTGGGATTGGGGGACTTTTGAAACTTTCCTTGGCGTAGCGCCTGCACCAGCAGAGGTCATCGACTGTTGACACATGAAAAAACCAAGGGTTAAGGAGATTCTCTGCTTGGGCAGGTGCCACAGTCAAGGGAAGTGCAAAAACAGCTGGCCAAAACTGACTACAAACTACAACACCTATAATAAACAGCCGCGTTATTTAATATCAAAATGTGGCATGGACACTGAGGTTGACATGGATGCCAAGCTTCTGGCAAGGCCACATGACAGACACCAGTGCTGATGAGCATTTGGCTGATGCACCCTGAGAGGTGAGGTGCTCCTTATTCGTGCCAGACGGTTACCAACACCCAGAATAACAACTGGCCTCGGGTCAGTGAGCTCCCAGCTCACACCAACCCTCCCCACGGATGCGGCAGCTCCATCACACACACCGACTAATGACTATGTGTTGGGGTTCAGATAACCATACTGGGCTCACTGTCAGTTTTTAACTGCAAAACGAGTCTGCAGAGCATGTTAAGTGTTTCAAGTAATGCTCACTGAGCAGAATGTCACATAAATGCCTTAAACTGTATTATTTTATCAAGTAAAGATTATAAATGATCTAACCACAACCGAATCCAACATTAAATCCACAAATAATCAAATTTTTGCTCTATTTGACACCTGACATTTTTGTCAGGTGTTTATAAGCTAATTTTGACAGGTATGAGCATTTTGTTGTACATGTAAAAACACCTACTGAATGATCATACTACTGGTTTTAATTGACAAGTCTGATCTTCAAATATTAAAATAAACTAATGACTTATTTATTACCATTACTACTATTTAACATTATTGACTTAATATTGCAATTTTTTATTGATGTAAAAATAAAAATTATTATTATCCAGTAATAATAATAATAATTCATACTATAAAGTTTAAAGATTACAGTGAAGCCTACTAGTTAAAGTTCTCCATATTAACTGCCCTTTATACTGATGATATAAAGTATTACACTACTCAGTGGATGACAATTACGTTTTTATAAGGCATTTGTCAACAGATAAACAATCATAATATACCACTTTTCTTGTTGCAGGGAGAAAATATACATACCATTCAATCGTGTTTGCCTGTTAGCTCGCACTCGTAAAAATGTCTGCAGGTGGGGGGGAAAAAAGAACAAAGAAAAATCTGTCAGTCATTCAAATGTATTTCTCATTTATTTATGAGGACTTTAATGATGTGCTTTTCACTAGATTGCGCTGGATTCTGCAGCGGTTCCCTGATGTCTGAATGTAAACAAACCTACTTCTCTCTTGCCAATGTTCTGCAAATCCTCTTCCATTGCAAACGCCACAACTCTCCAAACTCATTTGGTTTACTAAAGCATGAAGCCCGGATAACTCTCCTCCAAAACCCCGATATGAGACTCAATAATCAATTTACGAAGGATGAAGAAGGATTGAAAATGTTAGGCTTACTAGTTCGTTTTTCAGCCCGACATCGCCGCCATATTTCTACCGGTCATGTGACCGTCACGTCAGAGTCAAAAGTAGCAACTTGTGCAGTTCCGTCTGTCGCCACTGGGGCGCAGCAGTATGTAAATGACGCATATGATCTGTGCTGCTCGATTCATTTGACGTTTAAGAGGTCTCAACAAACTCTTCTGGCTTAAAAACTATGCTTCGTTCAGTAGTTTTCTTTTTCTGGGACAATGAACTGTTCATAATAAAAAGGAAATATATTTGTTTGAGATTATTTCAGTCATTTATTTTTGTCTTATGAACATTGTAAATTTCTTGTAAGATATGAAGATTTGTGTAACTGTTTTAGACTAGGGGAGAGCGGGGCACAAAGTAACACTTTTTGACTTTCTCAGTTTGTGTAAATCCACATGGGGTTCAGAATATAATTTTTTTATTCACAGTAATTTTACACTTGTCTCGTACAAATATATCGCTTTGTTTCATGATTACTAATGTTGATATGGTAACTAATAAATACTGTAAATTTTGTTATGCTAGCATGTGTGGAAATATTCAAACCATGTGTGTTACAACTAACCCCGCGTTACTTTGTGCCCCACGCTCCCCTATTCCTTCCGATATTTTGTGACAAAAAAGCAACAGATATTCAGTAACAGATTTTATAGCCCAACAAACATGTTACCCCACAAATATGCTAGAAATAAAATGTTATTTTCATAAAAAAACAGCATTTATGTGTTTTTCATGACTGTCACATTGAACAGAAATACAGGAAAGATACACACCTATCAAAATAATTCAAGTTTAACTATATATACAGGTACAAACTGTCGGCTCATGTATAATGCCTATAGGCAGAGCCCTTTAGAAACTCTTCAGCCACTGCTGCTAAAAGTCAGTCTATTTTATGATGATACAATATGTTAATGGCCCAATGCATGCACACCAGACAGATTGCGTTACAAAAGAGAATAATCATGAATTTTAGGAAAAAAGCATTATTCGCATAAAGGGTCAGTGTACTTAATTACTTTTAGTTTTGTGATGTTAGAGGCAAATTCGAAAAACTTATCAGGACCATGCAGGAGGGCCTTCTTACAGCTAATGTGCAAAGATCTGTCCGGATATTGTTTTAATTGAGAAATTCTACCACTTCTAGGGTTGAGGGACAGATAGAGATGCCGGACAAAATGTCCCACAGACCCACAGCTCCAGGGGGAAGGAGGAAGAAAACAAACATGTCAAGGACACTGGAGCACAGAGATGATATCCGGGGCTCGGGGGCAGCGTAGATTAGCCCAGGGTTAAACTATGGATGATGACATATCAGAGCAGAACACACATTACAGCCTGAGTAAACCTGGGGCTGGAGATTAGCAGAGCAGATTTCAGTCTGTATTAATACGTCCTGCAGTCAGATCCAGTCTGGGATAAGATGGAGGATATTGTGGAGGAGAAAAGCTGGATGCACATATACATCATTCCATTCTGTTATTTTAAAACATTCTGGATAAAACACTTTCAAGGAGACTTATAGGAGATATTTAGGTTTCAAGGAGACCTTTAGTTTAATTTATAAATGTGAATTGATGTTTCCTTTATAGTAACTTCATTTGTGTCAAAATTACTATATTCAGTTATTGTTGATTTGAACTGTAAAACCAAAACTAAATCATATACAGGTGCATCTCAATAAATTAGAATGTTGTGGAAAAGTTCATTTATTTCAGTAATTCAACTCAAATTGTGAAACTCGTGTATTAAATAAATTCAATGCACCTTCAAAAACGTTATAAATGTTTTTACCATTTTAGCTGCATTTTTTTGGTGCTAATAAATAGCAAGTTACTACAATTTTAATGTAGTAACAATACCTGCAGTGAGTATTCTGGTGGTTAATAAGGTATTTTTTTGTAATGGTTATTTATAAGTCATCACTTTCTGTTGACAGAAATCCAGTTTCATTACATCTCAGGTAAAGCACCAACTTTGACATTTTGTGCCCGGATTTCCCTTCAATTTGAATCTCCCACATATTGAGACACCCTCAACAAGCTAAAACCCAGTGAAATGAAGGGCTGCATCAGAGTGGAGAGTTTCGGTTTGTGTGTGGAGTTGTGCTCAGAGTGTCAGAACTGCACAGTCTGTCACTCTGCACCTGTGACAGACTCCCTCTGTCTGAGGTTTCCCGTCTCACCTGGTATCTGTCAGAATGGTGAGCTTCATCAGAGGAGAGCGGGGACACAACTGGAGACTCGCCCTCACGTTTGATGTGCACTGACAACAGGAGAGACTAGCGAGAGAGAGAGAAACAAAAAATGAGAGAAAGAGGTGAGCAGCCATCCGCTAGACAAATGTGTCATCCACAGAATTGATGGTGTAGCACAAGAACTCCAAACCCGGTGTGTTGAAACAATATGACTGATGTGAACAATTGTTGACAGATAACCATTAACTGCCATTTCAGCTTCAAACTATGTGTGTTGACAGGACATCAGTGTTTAGAGTAATGGAGGTTTCGACAGAGAGAAAGCAGGACACCAGACGGCATGACAGGACACTTTGATCGCTTATAAACGTATCGCCGTGCTCTGGAAGATGTAACAGGCCTGTCCTTCTGAAAACCTAACTGACTTAATTTCTCAAATGAATGAGGAAAGGGGGAAGGGGAAATACTGTTTACTTTCCCGAGAGTCTTGATCTCCGTCCTGCTTTTATGAGGCGGCTATAAAATATTTGTATTTACAATCTGCTCTGATTAATCAGAGTGAGAGGAGGGGTTGCTGCTTTAGCGGTTGATAACTGTAATCTAATATTAATATGTGAAAAATGGCAGCCTCTCTCTATGGGGACAGTAAATTAGACATTATGCATGGCTCCTTATGCTTTTGAATCGCAAGGTCAGGAAACAATTTATTTGTGATCTCAAAACCTTTGGAGCTCAGGGAATACGCTGTGTGCCAGAGAGCGAGTATGAGCGCTAAGTGTTTACACGGGTCTACTGTATCTAGTGTGTGGGATGTTTAACGGTTTCATTGTCCAATGAGAATTGATAACAGTCCCAAAATAACACATGAACAGCAAGTTTAGCACCAGGTAATCTGACTTGAAGAATATGTTATAATGAAAAAATTGTTAAAATAATGTAATATAATGACACATGTTATACATACTGTTCACAAGTCTGGGATAAGTAAGATTTTTTAAATGTTTTTAAAAGGCTCTCTTACACTCAATAAGTTTGCATTTAATTGATCAAAAATACAGCAAAAACAGTAAAGTTGTGAAATATTATTAAAATGTTAAATAACCGTTTTCCGTTTAATAACTAATTCTGTTGTATTCCTCTGATGGCAAAACTGAATTTTCAGCACTCATTACTCCAGTCTTCAGTGCCACATGAATCTTATAAATCCTAATATCCTAATATTTTCCTAATAATCCATTTAAAACAGTTGTACTGCTTAATATTTTTATGGAAACCATAGTGCATTTTTTCAGGATTATTTAATGGATAGAAAGTTCAAAAGTGTCACTTTTGATCAATTTAATGCATCCTTGCTGAATAAAAATAATAGTTTCTTTTAAAAAAATCTTACTGACCCCTAATTTATGAATGGTAGTGTACAATCTTTGATATAAGATTTATGTTGAATAAATATCACATAATACTTTTATATTATAATGATTACAATTTCCTTTACGCAGCATGCCTTGAAAATCACCTTTACATTTACATTTGATCATTTGGCAGATATTTAGATTCCTTTTAAAAAGCCCAAATTCCTTTGAAATACCTGAAAGTCATTGTATAAGTTGCATACTGACGTGTAGCTCAAGCAGTAGCAGTGCTGCAGATGTTAGCATGGTAACTGTGCCGCCTACCACTGTTGGCCTTCGCCCTGTTGGATTAAGAGCCGCAAAGACTGGCATGGAGTCGCTATGGCAATGGCGGCTTGAGAGAGGGGTGAAGACGGGCCAACTCGGCTCGGGGTTAATCCCCTTTAGAACTAGCGAGCTGGGCCTGATCTGCTGCTCGCCGTCTTTTAAAGGAGAATCATGAACCCCCACCACCGTCCCATCTAGCCTCTTCATTTTCCACACACTCCTACGGAATACTAAGTGTGAGCTATAGAATGCTCAGTCACGCCTCACACGGCCTGTTCTCTAACCCGCTCCTGTGTCTTCTGGCTCTCATGCTCTTTCCATACTTTCAGTTTCTCTCCAACTGCGGGTCAGAGCCAAAGGGTTTGCCCTCTGGATGAGGGATCATCATATGAGGGTGGTTTATTATTATCACCATTCTTGTTCATTTCTTCACAAAGAAATATGCATTTTTCTGAGATAAAGTACAAATATACATCTCAGGCAGACTGTAGAATGTCTTCAGTGAATGTGAGGTGGGTATTTCTGGTATTTGCAAAGGTTCATGGCATCATAAAATCCATAAACTGAAAGATAAATGCGTGATGTGTTGCAATACTCTCCATTGACAATGTCACATCAGCCTGTAATTCGTTCTTCCTTCAAAATCATGGCTTGAAGGCAGAAGTTCATCCAAAAATTACAATTCTGTCATCATTTACTCACCCTCACCTGTATAACTTTCTTTCTTTTATGGATATTTTAAAGAACGTTTCAACTGTTTTTGTCCATTCGATGAAATTTTCAAAATATTTAAAATAAGGGTGAGGAAATTATGACGGAATTATCATTTTGGCTGAACTATCCCTTTAACATCCATGCTTGGAATGAAATACAAATGTTTATAGCACATCAAAACTCTCTAGTGAATCTTATTGTGACTGCACTACATAATTCAATTGATGTGGATACAAATTTAATTGGGGAAATACACTTGGCTTCTTCCTCCTTTTAAGACAATGACACTGAAAAACATTGGTATCATTTTCCATGTCCAGGTCTTTTGAACGAGCAGTCAGGACACAGTGAAAGCTCTAAGTAAATTACTGCAGGAAATAAAGCCAGACGTTTTGTGACCACTCTCTCTTACACAGGACTCTTTTTACATTTTTGTCAATGAAACAGAACTAATTGCCATTAATTGTGGCTGAGTCTATCAGTGAACATAATGATTTAAAATGGCTCCATGGCGGTGGCCATCTTACCTTCGGTGTGCCTGGAGCTGCATTGATGTCCTTGTGTAATGGGTTCTTGCTGTAGGGAAAAACAGACACTGTGAGAGATGGTTATAACCAATAAATGTAATCAAGACTGAGGAAACCAAATTTAGGAATCTGCCATCAAAAAACCCACATATCGACCACTCTTTATTCGACATCGAATATCGAGGTCGATGTCTTGATGTCTAGTTGGTTATGAACTTGCATGTAATTGATGAGACTGGAACCGACTCAAAATGGCCATTCAAGAGGACAAGTTCACAGCTGACATGCGCTGATGTTAATTTCAATGGAATTTGATGTGCAAGAGCTACTTGTTGCCATGATGGCTGATCTATTTTGATCAAGTGTCACAGCACTGACTATAAACCCATCACCGTTTGACTGAACAGAAACTGCAATCTGCCATTTCGGAGAGATGCAACTTCTGTCCCCTAAGGAGCTGGACTACACGCGTCTCCTCCATCAACACTCACTTTAGCTCAGTCACATTGAGCACTCCCTTGTTGGCCTAACTTAGGACCTGAGCGGGCCTTCGAGAGGACAGCCAAGACAAAAGAGAACAAAGCCACACAAATCACACTTTTAATCATCTGGAGATGGAAAATGGGGAGGAAAAAATCGAGAGCAGTTTCAAACCCATCCTCTACGCCACTCAATCCAGGCAGCCCTGGGTCATGCTGTATTTGAAACAATTACTGTCCAAAAGTACGACTGCTAAGCAGATTTGGGTTATAATTTTTTTATTGAAGTAATCATTCTCATGGATGCTTCCATCCAGACCTGATCCCCCCCACCGCGACCCTCCCGCAGTTAGACTAAGGCAGAAGGAAATAAATGATTTTGCGGTTATTTGATTTGTCAGTGAAACGCCTTGGGCACTTAGGACTTTGAAATATGTTGAGGACAATGCACTGGCTTGTAAACATTGTATTAAAGAGGCGGAGAATGGCAGAGAGAGAGAAAAAAGGGTGGGGGCGACTCTTTCTTGAGTCTGGCGGGTGGATTGTACATTGAATCTTTGCCTTGTGGACATTGTGGGTTGAGGATGACTGATTGGAAGGCAGGAATTATTAAACGGGGCGGCTAAAGCATCCGCCGACAATAGGAAAAGACATATCAAATCAGATTCCTCTCTGAAACATTAATATCTTTCCTGCCATCTCTTTCTTTTTTTGTCTCTTGCTTTTTTTCGCCGTCTGCCTGTTTCCTTGTCTGTCGCTCTAGCTGAATCTCTTGTTTAGAGCCCCATAGATAGGTCACTGCTGGGTGTTTATGAAGCTGCGCGATGATGACCTGAGAAACAATGACAGGGGTAACGTTACCCTTGTCATGTTCATTTTAAATCATGCATTCACACCCAGAGAGACGGTTGAACTGAAACTGAATTAGCCTACCCTAATGTCACACTTGTCACTGGACGAATGAAACAGAGCGAAGAGCGAAAGAGAACACGGATCCTGTTTGTGTTCATTTAGCTCCTGCTGTGACTGATGAAGTTACAGTACAGTATGTGGACTGGCTAAAGAGGCTCAGACGTAATGAATGACAGGTGGAGGCGGGGTTTGGAGCATTGCCCCGCCCCTCCACTCAGGTAATAAGCCTCAAGCCCGCCTTTTCTGTAGTAGGTATGATTGATCTGACAGCAAGGGGAGGAAAGAAAGAGAAGGGGACAGAGAGAAAAGATGAGACAGAGGAGAAGAAAGAGACCACACAAATCAGGAACCAGGCCTTGAGAGGGGATAAATTGCCCCATCGGTGGCAACGCGCTGTTTGCGAGATAATAAACGGACTCCTCGGCATCATAAATCCGCCCAACGTGGCACAGCGAATCTCTGTGACCTCACACATCTCCTCATGTCAAAAAAAAACAACAACACTAAGATACACTTCATACCCCGAAGCATTCTAAATGCCCCCTCTGCACTCATTGGACATCCTAGTATCTCAAAATGCTCTTTTCCCAGTGGTGGGACAAGCAGGCAAGGCCAATGACAGAAAAACACTCTTTACTAGTATAGAAATGCCACACAGGAGCTGAACTATAGGACCTGAGGGATATTATGTAATACAGAGAACAAGTTAATTTAGGACTATAGTGCACAGACTATAATACATAAATCATGACCGCTTATTGCAGTGAAAATATTGGCATTTTAAACAGAAGCGTGTAAGTGTTGTACTTGTTAAACTTTAGGCAAGATACTGTATAATCAAATAAGGCAAAAACTCAGTGAGATTCGCTAATTTGAGATGTTACTCTATAAGCGGAGGGTTTAAAAATATTTTGATGCCAAGGACCCAAAAAAATATAATGATCATTTTGAGGAAATTGTGTGAAAAGTGTGATATAAAAAATTAAATCACTGGCTGCACA